ATATATATATATATAATGAAATATAATACTTTTTTAATAAAAAAACGAAATTAATTTGAATAAGAAAGTCATTACGATAGAATTTTTAAGAAGTTGTGATAAAGAATAGTCAGAATTTAAAAGCCTGGAGTTTTACTTGTAGTAAAACTCCAGGCTTAATACTTTGTTGAAAAATTGCGTGTTTGACATGCTTGATTAACAGTTTATCTGTCTTCCTATATAAATTTATATTTCATAAAAGAATAATACGCCACCATTATTCGTTTGTGTTTTGTTCGTTATGTTCGATGCATAAAAATAATAACAGGTCAGACAATGCCATTTATTTATTTATTTATTTTTATCAGTACTTCATAACGAGAATGTCAAAAATATTCTGTATATACACTTTGAATACCGCAAATTCAAACATTTTTTAAGTAGGACACTTATTTTGTTGAGTAATTGAGATATATTGCATAGTCTGAACAGACTTTTTATTTCATATCTCCATATTGCTTGTTCAAGGATGTCAATAATAATAAACGATTTTAAAATATGAAATGTGGTATTATACTTCAAAAATTAATTTTACTTGTTTAAATTATATCATAATAAAATATATAAGATATGATTTATGCATTGACATTTCATTAGAAAATTAAAAATACTGTAGTGTATAATTCAGAAGTCATTACTGTATATACACTAGCATGCATGTTTGAAATGTATAAAAAGTAATATAAATTTATAAGTTTATTTCTATTTTATTCACTTTATTACAGCTTAAATTAAATATAAAACATATTTTTAAATATAAATATTTTTTCTATATACACAGGCAGAAAGTAGAGTAAGGTAACTTTTACAAATGGCGGCGCTGGTTTCGCGTTTATCGTCGAACGGGGATTGAAATCGACTATTTTATATACTAGAACGAACTTCATATCCGCGTTTAAGGATTCGTGTTGCCATCTATTGACGTTTGATGAAATTTTATGAGTTTTGTGATTAATATTAATAGCAGACGTAGACATAGTAGTAAATTCTAATAATTACAAATATATTTATTTAAAAATTAGACCGAAAACAATAATAACTATTGACGACTAAATTAGACATCAAAATATAAATGAATATTATCCAATAACATTATAGGAAATTTGCAAGTGTGATCTATATATCTTCGTCCAGATTCGATCCAACATGGCAGTCGAGGAGTGTTCTTTCGGATAGTTTACTTTCGGTGGCTTATTCAGCATAATCATTCAGAGTTTCATATTAAGCGATCGAGGAGGCATCTCCTGGATAGGAGATCGCAATGGAATCGTCAAAAGATGGAGTAATGACAGAAGCGAAACGGCCGGAGGATGTTATTAAAATGCCATTGAATGACAATTTGAAATTCGCTGTTTTAATCGGTTTGGTGGAAGTCGGTCAAGTTTCCAATAAAGAAGTGGTCAATACCGTTTTACATCTGGTAAGTTGAAACTAACCGATACTTCGATAAACCTTTTATCGCCAATCTCGCTATCAACTCTGTTAGGCTTACATAAGTAAATATTTTTCGTTAGTTGGCTATTTTAATTCATTTTTTACACGTTTTTGCATCGCACCGATTCCACATACTTCACTTTTTAAAATTACAGTGGAAATACAAAGCGAATTTGCAGATACAAGCGGAAAAGTAGTCCTATTAGCAATGTAAATAGTTTAGAGGCGTGTGCCTGTACGCTGCAACTGTTCGTATATAAACATTGAAGCCATTTGAACATCATTGCTAAACTTGCTGCAATAAACATTTTAAAAATAATTTATTCTTTAACTTGCATAACATTCTTAAAAATAAAATGGTTATTTAAATTATATATACATTTAATTATATAAAATAAAACTCTTGCTATATAATTCAATTCAAAACAATATATAATAAAATAATTGTTAATATACAACTCTTAGAATGCACATGTGTATGCACTGATTATGGTAAAAAGAAATGAAGATAGATGTTGGTAAATGAATAATTTAAATGGTTACCAGGATGGACTGAATACTAAATAATTATTTGTATGTTACTATTGCGGAAAACCAAATATTCTTGCCTTTTCTGACTACCAAATACCTAATATCTTATATTTGGCTTATCATCAGCTGATTTATTTGGAACTGCATGAAACAAAAGGCTTAAAGGTGGAGGGTGGTGTATTCTTTTTAATAATAAACATTATATAAGTTTTTAGTTTTAAAAAAAATTATTATTAATTATGTGACAAAAAGTAAAACATTAAATCTTGAAGTTGAAGCTTGCTGTTGAAGTTTATTTTTTGGCTTCTCCATCAAGTACTGGTGTATTTAGTGAATGTATACAGTACATGAGGTTGGAAGCATTTATGACAACCAACAAAATTTTTTACTTCCTACAAATGCAAAAGTATTAACTTACTGTTCCTTTATTATAATTATTAATTAATCTATATAAATAAAAATGTAAATGTTCATTTGTTCAAAATCTCTGAAAGTTCTTAACCGATTGTTTGAAATTTTGACACAATGTTGCATTTGAATACGTGTGTGTTTTTACATTATACATATGTCGAAATTCCCTCGCGGGGCAAAATTAAGGCTTACTGTGAAGAACTCTGCTTCTATTACACTATTTTAGATGTGGTTTTTTGTGTTTTTGATTGCATTTTAATAGGGCACGTCAAGAGAATGTACACTAAGAAGGGATTTTTCGAAATTTCTTCCTGTGGGGAGTGTTATACATTTGTAATAGATACATTTTGAGCCACTGCAACATGTGGCCAGTACAGCTAGTAAATAATAATTACTCAAGATAATTTGTTAAAGTTATTTTTGTTTTGGAAAGGAATAAATACAATAACAATATTTTTAAATATCTGAGTTTTTAAATTTTCTTTTCATTCTATTTTGTGTTTCATTTTTTTCTTTCTTTCTCAACACTCACAGACACCTTTCTCTTTCTCTCTCTTTTTTTTTTTTTAATAAAAATTNTTGAGCCGTTCACAAGCCAAATTAATTAACTCCTTTAGTATATCCTTAGAATAATGGTTATTGTTCTTACATTTTTTGCATAAACAATGTTATATAATATATTAAAACTATGCTTTAATGTAATGATATATAAAAATATATTCCACAATCTTTGTTTAAATTTAAAATTTAAAAGAAATTTTAAAAAATAGAATATATTATCATTTCTGTACTTTTGTTTTGTGGAGTTAATTGATTTGGCAAATGAATGGTTCATTTTCATACTACAGTAGAGTCCCGAAAACTCAGCACTCGATAACCGGGCAGTCCGGATAACTCGGCCACACCCTGGCAGGGCGAAAAAACCCCTAGTTAGTTTTCTTTATGCCTCTTAAAGTATTTTTCTGAGGTCTGTGTTATCAGGTATATTACTGTACACTGTACTCATTAATTTTCATTTTCATGTAGTAAAGGCTCTATGCCTTCACAAAGGCTCTATGCCGTACTTTTCCTTTGTTTAAGGGTATTTGGGCAGTTTATTCTCTGTTGTATTTTCAAGCAAACAATACATACAAGTACAGTACAGTATTTTCTGAAGAAAAAGAATAAGTGCAAGTGTTTCACTCGTACTTATTCTTTTTTAACACCATTCCTGATAACCCGGCATTTTCACAAACTTGGCCACCCTTCGGCCCACATTAGGCAGAGTTTTCGGGACTCTACTGTACTAAAGTAAATATTAGAGAAAATATATGTCTAATATTTATTGAAATAATATATGAGTAGAAAACTAATATTTACAATGTGTTTAAATGCTGCTTAACTGCAGTGAAGATCTTAAAATCAAGACAGTTAGTTTAGAAAAGTACAAAAACAAATCAAAATGAGCACTTATATCTAAAAGGATGTTTATCTAGCAAGAATTGATTCAATGCAATAAATTAAATTATAAATGCTAACAAAAATGAAATACAGTGTTGAATTCAATAGCTAGCAGAGTGAAATAAGATAAAGCAAAAATAAATAAATAATTAAAATGTACATTTGAATTCTAAAGATACAAGAGAAGCAAGCTAGGAGGATCTTATGTTTCAAATAATAAATTAGTTGAAAAACAATCCATTATTACATTATTAAATTTTTAGAATTTATTGCTATTATTGCTTATGTGTGTTAGAATGATGCTGAAGCTAAATTAGAAATGATTAAGCAGACTGTAGAAAAGTCAGAAAATTCCAAAAAAAAAAAAAAGAATAATCTTAGGGAAAATAACAAATTATGTGCAATAGTGCAAAAAGTACAAATGTTATGAAGATAACATATAAGTAATTATTGAAATGGATAAAAAAAAACAACTTGTCATAATGTGATTTATTGAGAGAGAATTTTTCAGATTGAAAAAATTGTAAGAGGATAATGATTAATATTAAACTTACATCATATAGATCTAGATTACTATATTGCATAAGGTGAAAAGAATAGAAAAATATGAAGAAATTAAAATTAAACTTTTTTTTTTTGATAAAATAAAGCATATCTACTAAAACAATACACACATTAATGTTAGAAATCTAAACAGTTAAAATGGAATCCTGATATTCATAAATTTTCACAATATGAAAATTGTAGCATATTAGCAACAAACTATATTTATTTTCTTTTGGTTACTGCAAGGTGAACAAAAATGTTTATAGTTAAAAAAGTTATTTAATGTCAGGTAATTGTAAAATAAGGAAAATCAGATAAAAATCTTGATTTTCATTTTATGTTGTTATGAATTAAACAATGGATATTATGATAAATAAAAAATAGTAATGACAAAAGATTTTATTAAAAAAGGAAGAGTAAGTTAACAATAATTGTGTATAAATAAAATAAAAGTAGCTGACATAATGCATGATATAAACAGTTGCATATGTCAAAGTAAGGATAAAATTATGTATTTGGTGGCAATAGTCTATTTTTGAAGAGATAAGTAAGTATGAATAAGACTTTGCACTTATAGAGATTCATTTTTAAAGGATCTTATTGCAGTTTAATGAACAGTGACATGTAAGATGATATGTATTCCATAAAATGACAATTAAATTAATTATAATGAAAAGTTATTTTAATATAATGTCATAAAATAGCTGATGATTTTACTTAATACAATGCTTAGATCAAAGTGACTACAGTTTGTATTTTTGAAAAATTTTCTAAAATTGAAAGAAATTAATTGATATTATAGATTTCATACCGAAATTATATATTAAAATTTAATACTTTAATTATTATAAGAAAAATATGTATAATAACAAATAATATATTGCCTATTATTATCTAAGATATAAAATAAAATCCCCTAAGACAAAAACTGAGGCAATAAAGCTGAATAATTGTTATTTTGAACTTTTTAAAAGTCTTAAAACAATTGGAAATTAATACATGATAGCATTCAGATGTGAGCAGTCTTGCAATCAGTATTTTATCTAATCATAAAAGCAATTCAGTCATAGAATGATGTTTACAAATAATAATTTCTAATCTCTTGAATTATTTGCTTCTATATTATGTTATATTTTTATTTATAATTTTATATTTTGCTACTTCAAAATCAACAAAATTTACTAATAAAAGAATAAATTAAAAATAAATATTTTACAAGGAGCTTAATAGAAATTTGTCTCAGTAATTCTCATTTATAATTTAATTTTTTACTCAAGAACATTATGCTGTATATTAACTAAATACAGTATTTAAAAATGAATATATCAGATATTATGTTTAAACTAATATATATAAGCTATTACTTTAATACAGGGTGTGTCACAGTTTCTCCACAAAGTTTTTTTTGAATAACTTTTGAACTGCATGGTTTTTAAACTCAATTTTTTGTAGGTGGCGCTTTGAGCAAAAAGGAATTGCTTCTATCACAAAACACGTTGCTTCAAAACATTTGATTTTTCCATAAGTAGCCTTACTTGGCCACCTTACAGCCCTGATTTGAGTCCACTAGACTTCTTTCTTTGGGGATACATGAAGTATCAGGTGTTCAAGAATAACCCTATCACCCTCAGTCAGATGAGAGAAAGCATCGAAAGCATCATGACACGCATCTCAGATCAGACCTGTAGTAATGTGATTGCTAATTTCCAAAGAGACTGCACTACTGCATCTCGACAGAGAGCAGACATTTCGAAAATATCTTGCATTAATTTCCGTTTTCATCTTCTATCTTTGCTGAAAATTTCATTAAAAAATTTGAATTTTCAAAAAAGTTATTCAAAAAAAACTTTGTGGAGAGGCTGTGAAACACCCTGTATTTAATCTAATTAGAAATTAATTTCTAATTGTATATTAGTTTAAATAAAAATAATTGGTAGTATTTTAAATTTTATTTAACTTTAAAAATTAGCTTGTGATTATTGTTCTTATATACTGTATAGATTGTTGAATACATTCAACAATCACATACACTGTATTTTTATGATTGCTATAAATTTT